TCAGAAAGCCCTCTGCAGATTTACATCGGTCACATAGAGAGGAAATGGTAGGAAAGATTCTGTGCAATTTGGTTTTTGAATAATGAAGCCTGTGACCTTAAATTAGATGCCTGGCATTAACAGAACAAGATCGGGTCCTACTAAGGCCCTCCTCCCAGACATCATCCCCAATCTGCATTCCCAGCTCCTCCTCCCAGGACATGTTCAGAAAATATATTTACAAAGCCTGAGACCAATTTTTTGGATTCAGGCGGACTCAACAAAAGCTTATAAATCATTTAACCTTCCGGGAGAGACTCAAAGTTAGGCATACATTGACAGACATAATTCCTAATCTGCAAATATCGGAAAAAAATGTGTTGTGGGAAGAGAAAACTTGTTTTTTAGTTGAGTAAATGTGGCAACCTGTTAATATACAAATCTTTCAATGTAACTAAACCTTTTAACCTCCAAATGTTGAAGGACCCATCCAAAAGGGATGGGGAGAATGCATGATTGCAATATATTGGGGCATGAATAGAAGTGTCTGGCAACCTGCAGCCCTTTCTAATTTGCTGCCATCATGTTATCCACCTTAGTTGCAGGGGGTCTGGGTGCTGGAAGAGAACTGTTCTCGACATCACTCATTACGATGGCAACCCAGGGGGGAGTCTCAGCAAATACTTCCATCTTGTAACCCGCCTGCCAATAGACAAGGGCCCTAGCATTTGCTGCCCAATAATAATGCAGGAAATATGGTAATCCTAACCCTCCCATTTCTGCTGGTTTATGTAAATGAGTTTTTGAAATTCTAGGAGCTTTGAAGGTGCAAATAAAAGGCATAACTATCGAATCCAAAGATTTGAAAAAAGAACGTGCCAAAAAAATGGGTACATTTTGAAAGAGAAGAACCTAGGCAGGGAGACCATTTTGATGGCATTTATTTGACCCACCATAGAAAGAGGAAGGGTCCTCCATTTTTCAATGTCCCTCCTCAGTTTTTCGTGATTATCTTCTGTAATCACTCACTTCACCAGTGCTCGAGCCAAGAGAAAGTGTTAAATTGGGTTTCTTGTTTAATTATTTTTCTTCTGATCAATATTGTGGTTATTTAAGATTACAGACTGATCCAGCATGACAGAATTAGCTCATTCAGTTATCTGAACCCTCAATGGATTGATTGATTGGTTTTAAATCGTCAATTTACTGAAATGAAACGTCTTCATCCAGATCCGGACTTTCTCGCCGACGTGGAGGAATGGAAAAAGAATCTGGCCAACTACTCGGCTCAGGTGGTGGGACAGACTCTGGTCTTCCTGAACGGGACCACCGAAGAGTGTCGGTTTCGGGAATGCAACCTGGGAAACCTGATCTGCGACGCCATGGTAAGTCTTTCTTAACAGAAGATACCAGTGAAAATCTGTCCGCGTTTTGGTGGATCTTACATTGTGCTGAGCTTCCTGAATGGACTCAACAATCTGGGGTTGAGGTTCCCTAAAAAACTGGACTGGGTCCACCTGGAAAGGACTGTTTCAGAATGCTTCCAAGTGTATTCTGGTCTGAAAGCAGACCAGGATTTTATAACAATGTCCTGTACATCCATATAATGTCCTGTACTGTACTGTCATAGAGGACTGAAGAAAATCTCAGGATTTTTTCTTAAAAAATGACTCAAAATGATGAATTGATTGTCAAAGTAGTTGGTGATTAATTTAATAGTTAAAAGTGAGTGAAATACAAGAACATGACATAAATAACATTAAATAAAGGGATTGCAGATGAAAATGATCTTTACGTTAACTGTTTAATACCAGTAAAATATATAAAACTGTGACTGAGGGAATCAGATTTTGTCTCCGTCATTCAGGTCAACAACAACGTCAGATTGTCAGACGATGTCCAGTGGAGCCACATCAGCGCCGCCATCTTTAACGGAGGAGGCGTTCGCACGTCTGTAGACGAAACCACCAGGAACGGTTTGTCGCTGATTCCCATGGGAGTCAAATAAAACCAGAGTTCTTTGAAGTTATTACTATCGGGTGTAAAACTGTGTTTTGTCAGAAGAACTTTTTTAAAACAGTGTCGATGTTTTGTCCGTAGGTTCGATCACCATGGAGGACCTGATCTCTGTCTTACCTTTTGGAGGAACATTTGACCTGGTGCAGCTGAAGGGCTCCACGCTGAGAAAAGCTTTCGAACACTCAGTGAAACGATACGGCCAGAGCACCGGAGAATTCCTACAAGTGTCTGGTGTGTTTACATTGTTTCTGTTTGTATATTACCCTCTCAGGGCAGCTGGACTCACAAGAGTCAGACTTGCCATCTATTTGCCAAACTACAATGGTACAAGACCAATCAGAGTCCTTTGGGGAAGTACTGGCAGCATCAGCTATATCAGGACTGGAAAGTATTTCTTCGTGACGTGAAAGTCTATATGGTTCACTGATCTAATTGGTTGAAGTTCAATGGTGATAGACAGACGGTTTATCCAATCACCTGCTGACTTCCCAGATGGGAATCTATATATATCGTCTTTAGGATTTTAGGAGGAGAAGCAAACTTTCTGTATTATATTATATTATTATATAAATGGATTATTATTATTGATTAATGTGTTGGTCACTTTAATGTTGATGGAAATTACTCCATACATTACAGATTTGTTATAACAGTCAAAGAGAGAAACATCTTTTTCATTAAGAAAAGCCTTCAGTGTTGTTCTTTGGTCTTCTTTCGATAAAGAACTACTCTCCCGTTCTGACCAACCCCCCAGGAAAAGTGCCGGGCGCGGAAGCCGATTTGACATCGTGGTCGAACCGTGTTATTACAGCAATGGCGTCCATCACGTGATGCAAACTGACCTAACAAGATACATGTGAAAGAAGCGGCTGTAAAACAGTGATAATCACTATCAGAATTTGATCCGGTCAGTCTGATAACATTTTTATAGTCTAGAAGATTTGTACAACTAAATTATTTATCCCTATTCAAGCTAACAGAGGGTTAAACAGGAAGTTAGCGGCTCTGCCAGCGGGAGTCTGGTATCTCACAGTACGTATTTATCAGGGTAATTTCTTTATAACAGGAAGTGTATTTTTTGGCTTCATGCACCACTGAGCAGCTATAGGAATGAATGTAGCGCTGCTCCCAACGCTGTCTCTTTATACATCCCTGATTCTGATAGAACTGACACTAGCAGCATCCACGCTAACCTCTTTAGCAGCCGCCATTGTTGTTTTCTAGCAAACAGTCCAGTTCCTCGTAGGACGCTGATTGGTGTAAACCACTGGGGTTTGGACATAAACACATAGATTGAAGCCTGGCTATGTGTACAGGTTGACTGATGTTTGATTGTGAGCCTCGTATCGATGGATAAGTCAGACTGGTGTTTCCGACAGGATTTCATGTAGAGTTTGACCTCTCCAAACCTCCGGGGCATCGCGTGAGGAGCCTCAGCGTCCTCTGCACAAAGTGTCGAGTTCCTCACTATGAACCCGTTGAGGACAAGACAGTTTACACCGTGGTGCTGCCATCCTACATGGTGGTGGGCGGAGATGGATTCTCCATGATCAAAAACGAGACGCTCAGACACAACAGTGGTGAGATGTTTGGACGCTGAGAGTATTTTGGTTTTGTGTTTCTGAGACGAGACTTTTCATTTGACCTTTTATTTTTCCTTGCAGGGGATTTGGACATTTCAGTCGTGTCCAACTACATTGCACAAAGAAAAAAGGTTTACCCGTCTGTTGAGGGACGCATCAAGATCTACAACTCAGCTTCTGGACTGCTGGGACAGACGGCTTCACTGGTTTTATTGGTTTCACTGTGGCTGCTCTGGACTCTGGATTTTTAACCGAACTGCACATGAAGAATTGCTGATGGATGTGATTCTACGCGACTGAAAATCTATTTTAATTCTGTTATACAGTCATTTTAAAACAAACGCGGAGCTTTAGTGGTCAAAAACAATCTGGTTGGAGCGTCTTCAGACTCCATGTGGACCAAGTTTGGACACAAACAGAAGGAAATCCTCAAATTTCTAACCAGAAACATGAAATAAAACCTCTTTACACAAGAACTCATGGTCTTTTTACTAGTTACTAGTCTTTACATTGATTAGTGTGAAGGTGTTAATCCAAAGTCGCATCACACCGGTTGGCGAACTGTTGTCTACATGAAGACATACTTTCAAAGCATTAAATGTTTCATATAAAATGTCAGAAATATTGAACCATACTGGTTTCTGGTTTTTAAGTAACCTGCTCTGCTGTCTGTAGGTTATATAACATTATGATTACAACAAGTGTGACCATAAATAGCAGCAAACGTGGTCACACTGAGGCGCTGCAGCCTGTATGTAACATTATGAATATTATAAATATTATGACAATGAATTAATTTCCAACAGTGTAAGCCTACACACACTTGTCTCCTGAGCGTCTCACCACCATTACAACCTGTTAACTACTGATCCTACCTTTGAACAACACAATCAGTTGAGAAATGTAAACGTTACAGTGCAGTTCCCAGCTTGTATTTGTTTACAGGCCAGTCTTGCCCGGTCCACTATGGCGGAGGTAGTTGTCTATGTATTTGTGTCTATGGTTTGAACATCTTCAAACTGGGTTTTGGAAACTGAGACTTTTAGCTTCTAAACAATTTGCTGCAAAAACTTAAACCAACAAATATCTTTTACTGAAAACAACCTCCATTTTAAATACGTGGAAGGATACATTTGAGCTTCTGATGTTTAGCTTCTATGGTAGCGGTTTGGTTGTGTTTTGCAGTATAATTTCTTTATTTGTCAGCTGTTGAAGCTCAGTGGGAACAGATCTGAATCAAGAGTTCTCTGGAAGGACAAATAGCAGAAGTAAAAGCTTAAAACAGCACGGACGCGGCCTCTCAACTTTAGAAACAGAAGTAAAACCCTCAACAATCAGTCCTAACGCTTTGGCCAAAAGGGAGTTCATAGCAGCAGAGTTCAATGGATAATAACCGTTGGATTCCTGGAAGTGCGTCTGAATCTGAAAGCTGTAACATCCAGTGTTTGTGAAGCGGAACTCCTCAGTGAACAAGGCTTCCTCTGTGTGAGGGATCTCCCAAACAACGCTCGCTGCCTGTTAATGCTCGGGAACTCCTCATTATTCAGTCCTCTGAGTGTAACACAGCTGACAGCGGCGGTCTGCCCCGACACAAGCTGCCAAACACTGGAAAACAGCCACATTAGGACTCAGTGGAAAAAGCTGCAGCGGAGTTCTGAGAAACGAGGACACAGGGTCCATCAGAAACTAGTGTGGGTTGTCTTCAGGACACAGCGGGAGCTTTTTACTGCTTTATATTTAGTTCAGTGAAAGGAGAACAATGTAACGTCTTACTCAAAGTCAGAAGGGCACGTTTACCCAAATTACAAAACGTACTTACCTGTAGTATCCAACCACTCAGAAACTTTTAGTTTAATCTGTATAGTTCTGAAATATGTCAGACTTCTGCCCAGTAAAGTCAGATAGAGTCTGAGAGCCCAAAGTGTTAAAAAATGACCTTAAACATGGTTAAAATATTTCTATACACTGCAGTTCAATCACTGTTTACCTCAGCGAAGTGAACAGATTACTGTACGAATGCAAGTACAACAGTCAGTGAAAACCGCTTTTTTTTTTTTTTGATAATTATATATATATATATATATATATATATATATATATATATAAAGTTCTCAGTAACAGTTTTTTGTTGTTTTACAGTCTAACTGCACACAGTCCCTGACTCTACTGCAGCTTCAGAACAGGTGAGATATGAACAGGTGAGATATGAACAGGTGAGATATGAACAGTTAGATATGAACAGGTGTCATTAAGTGTGCACAACTAACAAACTAAAATATAAAACCATAATCAACGGGTTGTCTTAATAAACTGTTTTTATTTCTTTGTTTTGTCATATAGACTCAGAGGTTTTTATAAGTTTCACAGCAAAGAAAACAGCTGTCTAACATCTGCTCTTGAACCTGAACCTGGAGAATCTGCCATCAAACCATCAGGACAGACTTCAGTGTTTAATAAGTGTCGGTAATGGTTCCTGTTGTTGGTGGAAGAACAGACGACAGACAGCGCTCTCTGTAGTGCCATCAATAAATATACATCTGTGTATTAGTGCATTCATGTACATTGGAATGTGGAGGTGGTCCCAGAGCTTTAGTGGAGTATTGCACTTCCAGGATTCAGTGTTCGGTACATTGTCTGCTTCATATGATCATCGCGTCCTTCGCTCCCTGAGGAGGAAACAACACTTTATCTGTGCCCAGCAGCATTTTACCCACAGCAGCACATTAATCAGAAACTCTCTTCACTCTTCACAAGAAATACTAATAATTAACTAGTTCCAGCTTTAGTTTCAGTGTTTGCTGTTCTCTTTCACACTCGCTCCATCTGCTGCCGACTGTACGTGACAAACTAAAGAAAGACAATGTGATGAACAGCGGACTGATCGTTCTTTAGAGAAAGTTCATCTCTTCTACTCGTTTTCTTTCTGACGGTTTCATGATGTGTCAATCTGAAATCTCATTATGGTTAGCCTAGCTTAGCATAAAGACTGGAAGCAGGTGGAAACAGCTAGCCTGGCTACACGAGCTGTACTAAATGCATTCTCAGAACTGAACTGTTCCTTTAAGAGGAAGCAAAAGTGTTTGTTGTGAATCAACATGAGCACAGTCCTCTGTTTATAGTCAGACACCTGATCCACCTATGGCCCCTGTTGCATCATGGGACGTTACACAACCTGCACTTGTTTAATAATAATAACAAAGTGACATCTGAGCATTTCTGTACGTCACCGACACCGGCTCTAAATTTAAATATGGACGAGTTAAACTGCACAAACATGTTTCTCTGTATGCCGCGGATTGTTTTTAACAGTCAGACTGTGGACATAT